TTCNGGTTTTAAAATAAATGAATACTCAGCTTTCACCTCATGTTCGTCCTCGTGGTGAAAGTGTCATTGTGAATAAGGTCAACGATCTTCTTGGACTAAACCATCCCAGGCCCTCAGTCCATGCCTTCCATTAAACATCCTGACTATTTTCTTGATACGATAATTTTTTCCGTATGTGGCGATGGTTTACTTTACTATAGTGGTGCGATGAAGATTATCATTGTTGTGTGGCAGGTTGAAGGATGCCTCTTCAAAGTACCAAAATATCACTTCGTCAGAAGTGCTGCAATATTCCCTGTCAGCTTGGACCAGCCCCAGGAGGAGGTCTTGAATGCCGAAGGGTATAGTGAAGAGAGTCCAATATTCCTCCCAGGCATGACGAAGGTTGACTTTGAGAATTTGATGAAGATTTTGTACCCCTTGTGAGTTAATGTTTTTTTTATTCGATCTCGGATCCGTCCTCGAGTTTGACCAATGACCACCATCAGAAAAATTGCGCGCAGTCAGACTTTGTCATGCACCGAATGGGTCTTTGTTTTGGACCTTTCTACCAGATGGTACTTTGTGGAATTCAGGAGGCTGGCCACAGCAAAGATAATGACCATATGCGACGACGTCGTTGAGAAAATTCGGTTGGGAAAAAAATACAGGGTTTTTAGCTGGTTGCTCTCCGGATACGAGCAACTTGCCAGACGTACCGAGAAGATCTCAGGCTCTGACGATGAAGCAAAAATCATTGGCTATCTTACAACCATATTTATCTATGGTGTGAGGGAAAAGGCCTACGGACGCCCTGATTATTCTCCGCTCGATTATGAAAAGACCATTCGGACGACTTTCGCGCAGGAGCTTGCAGATGTGGAGGCAGATGAACGGGGTTATGGGGCATCATGACGGGAACAGCAGTGAATTCATGTTGCAGAGATATCTCGTACGCTTAGGCAAGAATATATTTTGACAATCCCTAAAGATGCTATTGCAAGGGTTCAAATTCGTCCGGACGGAACTTCGACGGCAACCACCGCCTCAGATTGGCCTCAGAGGACTTCAAAGTATTAACCGCAGCGTGAGAGTCGCACTAGCGTTCCAAATGCCGCACTTACTGCACTTGCTGTGGACACCACCACAATGTCTACTACGTCGACGCATGATGCACCAGAAACATTGCCGACTATCTCGAAAGACAAAATGTATTATTTGGAGCATGTCGTGTTTCAGGTGATTTTTTGGTCTCTTTTAATGTACTAAGGAGATAATCGAAGGTGGAATTTCTTCCAAGGTGGAAGACAGCCTCTTCAAAGTTCCAAGGCATCACTTCTCTGAAAATTCGGCCGTTTTCGCAACGACTTTCACCTTACCCCCTGGAAATGATAAGCCGGTAGAGGGTTGTAACGAGAACTACCCGTTTAAATTGCAAGGAGTCAAGAAAGCCGACTTCCAGGCCCTCTTGAAGGTCTTGTACCCATTGTGAGTCTCCAGTCGATCGTAGCTTACAAGGCTTAACCGTAGGCCACGACGATGCCAATAGACAAATTCCTTTCTCCTATTTCAACATTTCATTCGATGAATGGGTGTCGATTCTTGGATTGGCTACCATGTGGGAATTCAGTGTTTTGCGAAAACTGGCGATCAAGGAGATGGCTGCAAAGGGCATGGATCCAGTTAGTAAGGTCATGCTCGGCCAGAGATACGGGATTTCGGATTGGTTTAGGTCGGGGTGCTTGAACTTGGCAACCAGAGCTATGCCAATTACGCTGGACGAGGCGGAGAAGATTGGGTTGGTTACGGCGATCCGTCTATATCAAATTCGAGATGGAGCGGTCAGCCAACTGTAAGGCTGTATTAGATAATACAGCTGTCTACACTACCTTATATATGCACCGGTAGGTGAAAGAGTAATCTTTCACTTATACGACCTTTTGGTGTAGTGGTTGCATTGCGGTGCATATGGCCATCTTACACCAACGGCGCCAACTTTATGAATACGCAGGTTACATCGAAAAGGTATTCAAGGAAGAGCTGAAAGTCTGCCATCTGGATGAGGATGCCCAGACCCATGCAGCTCCGTTCTTTCTCAACCTGTAAATTTTGTCCCTTCGCAACGCCAGCGGACATCTGGGATTTTAGGTCCATGTCAATCGAGGCGCCAAAGTCGAAAGAGATCCCGATGATAGGAAAAATTAACATGTAACTTAAACTAGAAGAATAAGAAATTGGGCGTCTCTAGGCGTCTCCATCGATAAGGATCGATAATAATTACAGCCATGTGCGGAACATAGGGCGCGGCATGATTTTTTTTTTTTCGCCAAATAAACAAACGGATTTATGTAGTTGTAAAGTATTGTCTATGTAGCACGCTCAAAAGTTGTCCATTCAGCTTGAAAATAGAACCATTCGACGCAGATTTTGAATCTGCATCTGAGAGTATATAAATTTCCACTGCGAGGAGAGAATGAATGTGTAATTATGTACATGACAAAACTGCAAGAACGACGTTGACGTGGCAGCCTCCAGCCTCAATTCTCGTCCGCCCTGTCTGCCCGTTGACTTTTATATACATTCGTCAAGCTGCCTCCCCCTTCAATCCACCGAAATCATGTCACGGGTTGCAGGGCATGAATGGGACGGGCACGTCTGGCCTTCTGGAAACATTGATCAAGCAGGATAAAGCACCAATAAGCCTACAATAATTCCCCCTCCTCCGGAAACTTGACCTGAAGGTCTGAGCTGCCCAAAAGACGCAACGGGCGGAGGGGGAACGTTGAGTTGTGGATGCTGTGTATTATGCTGTTAGAAGTGGTAAATAAATCGACGCGAAAAAAAAACGCTTTGCGCGAGCAAGAAAAAAAAACACGAGCAGAAAAAAAGAAGGCATGTTAGATATGGGTGTAAGCCTTTTGGTAGTACTTTCCTTTGCGTTCCTTATAATTTCTTAAGAAAGTGAGGGCTAAAAAAGTACATAGACTTTGTTCAAATGGGCTTGAGGTATTGAACCTTTTGAAAAGGTTGGGCTTGGGATAGGATTGAACTTGTGGCTTCCGGAAGTAGGCACACCACATGTTATACTCAGAACGCAGCCCATTAGACCGTTACACCATAGCCGCATTGGATATCATAGAACATAGTTCAATACGGTACCACGAGTCAAGCTTGCTTTGTTTGGCGTGTCTGACTCCGTTGAATGTGTTCGAACTTTGGATCCTGTCTCAGTCTCGTCCTCCTACCTTGCACAATTCTGTTCAGCTCTTCTCTGCGACTTGCACGTCTCTACGACATCCCATCCTTCATTCGGCCAGCTTTCCTCTCACTCTGCCGTCTCTCCACGAAGTTATCTAGTTTGTCCAACCTCGACATCCATCACATTGGCCTGCCAATATTCGGAGTCTTGGCAAAGGTTAAAGAGGCAATATCTCAGGAACGGTTGATAATCGCCTACCATGCACCTGCAGTTGATGCTCTGCCAGGGCTTTCGAATGATTGCAATGAGAAGCAACATGTTTCCTGTCTCAAGATCTGGAAGATAATGTGGTGGAGTCGAATTGGAAGGGGCATTCTACAGCCATCGGCACTCTGGGCCACGGACTTCCCAGATGGCGTGATAGACACCGTGAAGAAGTTGGATTTGACGGGGATAACACCGAGCTGTGGGAAAGCATTCGTTGACTTTGTGTGTGCCAGAGCTGATGCACTCACCGGGCCCAAAAACTACATTGAGGAGGGAATTGTAGAACTGGAGAGACTTCTTTCCCTAGGGCAGTTGTAGTCAAGTACGATACAGAGTTTTCGTGGCTGTGTTCTCAACGTTGAAGCTGCGACCGTGACATCTACAAACATGTCAGATTCTACGGAACTGAGCAGTACTGCGACAGCTTGAACGTATCAGGAACACAACAATGTACCTAGTCTCCCTAACTGAGAACAGCAGACCGAAATCTGCCCACCCGATTATTTTTTTTACTCGCGCAAGTTTTTTTTTTGCACGTTGATTTAATTACCACTTCAAACAGCATAGTGTATCGAACGTCGCAGATGATCGTTTCCGACAATTCAGTGATTATTTCTTGCGGTCGATGGAACATGGGCACATCGACATGTGCAGATTTGAAATCGGCGTTGAATGAATCTAATTTCAAGCTGAATGGACGACTTTTGAGCGTGCTACATAGACAATACTTTACAACTACATAAATCCGTTTGTTTATTTGGCGAAAAAAAAAAAATCATGCCGCGCCCTATGTTCCGCACATGGCTGTAATAAGGTTGAAGTTGGAGAGTGATCAAGTCACACTGAGATGTTCCGGTCGCTCTGATAGGCGGATCGATATCTACTGCCATTACTACTACTAGTAGCCAAGTAGTAGCCTCCATCCCCCGTCACCAACATATATGCTGCAAGTGCCAAATCCTTCCAAGGTTCCGCACCTGTCACCTTACAATAAAGTCACCTTGTAATTTACACATATTTTTCAGATGCGGTCGAGAGAAGGGAACGAAAAAAAAAAAAACAAGAAAAAGCTTTGGGTATATGGTTAGTCAGTGATTGGGTGAATAGTCCGTCCTATGTACAAGCATGACTGTGTCGTGTTACCAATACAAGAGTGGTAGTATGTTTCAAGAAGTGTTCAAAGAAAGGAAAAACCTAGGTCGAAAGATCAGAGTCATCACCATCACCCCAAGGCGATGCGTCTTTGAACGAGTTCACGATGCCATCTGCGGCCTTCTTCAAATGTTCGAATCCAGGTATCAATCCAAAAGTCGAAGGAGAAGTGAGTAACTGTGATGGCGATTTGTCACCAGCATTAGGGTTTCCTGTCGGAGGCACGTTCAAGTCGCCGCCAGAAGATGATGAGGAGGTGTCGTTGTTCGTCGTCGAGGTAGTAGGAATGGATGAGTCAGTGGTGGGAATGATGATAACAGGGGTTTTGTCGTCCAACCCAGAAGGGGCACCGTTCGGGTCCACGTCAATTTTTGTTGTATCTCCACTCCCCTCTACCTTCGGCTGCCCATCATCAGTCGCTTTCGCCTCTCCGTTCTCAGCATGGGTCGTATCCGCCACCACCGTATCACCAACAGCTTTGCTCTCCCCCTCTCCCCACATATCCCCGTCCGAAGTAGCACCGCTCTCCAAAACATCCGCGCTCTCACCCTTTGCCTCATCGGTCTTCACCTCGCTCTTCTCCACTTCCCCATCCATCACCCCATTCTCACCCCCCTGTTCCCCGACGTCAACCAACGACGCTTCCTCAGTTCCCACCTTTGCCTCTCCCGCCTCTGCCACCTCTGTTGTTGCCACCTGATCTTCCCCCTCTTGGAGAAAGGAGGGTGCTGTGTTCGTCGTTGGGGTTGGAGGTGTCTCCGTTTTCTTTTGACCCTTTTTCTTTGCTTTCCCCGTTGACTTTGGGGCTTTCTTGGTGACTGGGGTGACTGGAGCCGTTGGCTGAGACTGAGGCGCCGTTGGCTTGGCTGGCACTGGGGGTTCCTGTCAGCGGAATCAGTAAGACAAGAAGGAAACATTATAAGGCGGTGGTCACCAATCCACCTGGCAGAAGAGTCGTCGGTTCATCACCAGTTGGGGTCTCGGATGGAGGTTCGATCGCGAAGAGGTCGCAAACGATGGTATGCAATTCGTTCCCGTGAACATGCGCTGACGTTGGGCTTCGTGCACCAGTTGGGGAGACACTTCCTCTGGCGTGCTCGCGGGCACGGGCAATGAGCAGCGCGGTTTCCATGCCAAGCTTCATACCCTCTGGTAGGGTCAAGGGCTCTTCACGTTCGCAGAGCCTAGCATAGTATGGAATAAGAAGCTTGCGATCAACGGCATTGGCTTGATATGTGGCGATGCGGTCGAGATCGGGAAAGATGAGCTTTTCAAGCTCGCGCACTGCGAGGTTCTTGACCTCAGGGAAATCCCATTGATGAGCAAGTTTCAGTATGATTTCCCATTCTGCTACAGGTCGATCATACAGCGAGTACTTTCTGTAGTGGCAATTGTTATTGGCGATGAAAACCTTGTAACAGAAAGATTCTTACGGGTTATAGAACACCCACAAAAACAATTCGAATTCGGCGGCCTTGACGTCCTCGAGAATAACGGCATTTGAATCGTTTACTCCTGTACGGACGGCACCAGGCGAAGCTGGAACCGTCAGATAGTTTCGGAAGTAGAGAGATTCTCTCTCAAAAAAGTATCGATGAACTCGAAACTGGATGTGTTCGACCTGGGGAGGTGCCACGTCAAAATAATATAAAGGTCTTGCAACCTTCTCACTCACGAGGAATGATAGATCCGCTCCTTGGATGTAGTAGGTAGGATGACGGCTGACCGCCAAAAAGGCATCGTTAGGACTTGGAGGCATCAAAAGTTCAGCTTGCTGGGCGAGGGAAGGAAAACAGAAAGAGGGGGGTTCGTGAAGAAAATATCGGCGAAGCGCCTCAGCTTTTGAGTCCAGAGCAAACAATGTGCACGCGTATGCAACACGTTTCGATGCTCTTCACAGTTATATACCTTGTTGTTCCGATCGAACATGAGGCTTGAGGTTCACGGCATTACAGGGTGCCACTTACCTCTGTTATCAAGCACATAACTCCCGTTCTCCGAGCCACCCATTAACCAGATGCATCAGACTTAATTTATGAAGCTGATATCGTAGGCCGAGCTGCGAGCACATCATGGTGTGGATGTGGAATATAAGTTTACATGTGTTTACATCTAACGTGCCATTGTCCGACTCGGCCCGTTCCCCGACTGTTCTTCCAAGCCTCGAGCAAGGCTCGAGCCTATCGATAATTGAACACCGCTTTACCGATCACAAACTCCTTTACAGTGCGCTCCAATAAGATTTTTTTTATCACAAATACATCATACCGTTGACAGTCCAAGAAAATTATCGCCAAGCGCCAGGGAAACACGGAGAATCCGAACGCGCGATAGTCAACCCCAAAAAGCACCCATCTGATGACACTCTCAACCTCGCCTCTTCATCGCGCTCAACGTCTCCACAAACTTTTGCTTTAAAGATGTCTTGCGCTTTGGTAAATTGTCTATCAGCGTTATGGCGTGATCTCAAGGGACACACAGAAAAAATACCTCGCTTCGGCTCCTGCGCCGTGCTCAACGACAGGCTATCGAAATTAGGAGTTACCACCGGTCTTGGAGGTTGAATCCTGTGTGTCCTTCGAAGCGGAAGTCCCGTTGCGACGTTTCTTAGTATCTAAACATCAGAATCAGTAAACGTGACAAGAAATGAAGATAAACTTCACCGAACCGCTTCTGGAGGGAAGGCCGTTCTGATTGTCGTTGGCCGCCTTTGGATCGAGGAGATTCAAAATGGTTCTAGTGACGTCCTCATCTTCAAGGTCGCGCGGTAGGGGGCTCTTTCCTCCATCAGAAGGAACGGCGCGCAGTTTCTCCCGAGCAGTGCTAATCAGATATACCGTCTCAATGCCGAGGAGTTTGGACTCCTCCAACGTGAGGGGGATGTCTCGCTTGCACAACGCCTTGAATAAAGGAACGATGTACTTATCGCTGTCGACTTCCACCTCCTGGTACAGGCGGAGCCGTTCTGCAACACTGATGTCAGTTTTGGTCTCCAGCTGCCGCGCCGCGCAATCCTTGACTGCGACAAACTCCCACTTGTGGGCAAGCTTAAGGATAAGTACCCAAGACTCGACCGGTGCGTGGTCGTACGAGGTGTACTTACTACGAACAAAAATTATGTCAGGGCCAAACTAGGACGAAGTCGGCAAATGGAACAAAACAACGCACGGGTTATAAAACACCCAGAGGAACGTGGCGAAATCATCGGGCGAGATATCTGGGATTACGATAGGGTTGCTCTCGCTTCCTTCGCGAAATTGGCCCGCCGTGGCTGAAGGTTGCAAGATTTTGTTGAATTTGACCGAATCACGTATAAAGAAGTAGCTATGGACGCGAAATAAGGTCTTTTCTACCTGAATGGCATATTTAGTGATATAAACCCGATGTTCTGCTCAAGTTTACTCACCAGGAAATGTAGGTCTCCTCCCATAATATAGTAAGTATGGTGCGGTTGGAGGCGCTGCAAGTCAGTGTCGTTGTTGTTCGCTGGCATGATAACGACGGTTATTGACTCGAGTAGTTGGAGGGTAAAGAACGGTGAACTGTGGGGGGTCGATGTGGTAATTTTAGCGCTTTTTAAGACTCGTTGTGTTCGGCACCGCAAAGTTCAACAAATCGACACCCTGCGCATCTTGATACCATTATAAGGTTACAGCAAGGCGTTGGGCGCTAAATGGACCCCGATAAAGGCATCAAGCCGCCGTTTAGAACCATGTCTTTGGAGCGATTTCGAATCCGTGGGATGGCACGTTGCGTTAAAAAGGTAAAGGAAGCGGTATTGTTGTCTACAATAGTCCAAGGGGCCGTAAGGCGGCCAACTGAGACTATTGAACGTTCTGCATCTGGACTCTGTATACATCACTGGGAAAGAAAAAAAAGAGGCGAGTCGCCCAGAAAAGCGTGCCAACCTACTCATCTGATAAGCCGAAAGTTTTTGTGTCTTGTATATATTATCCTCGAGGCGTGACGGCTTGTGCAAGAGTTATTTTGGAGATGCCCAGAGATGCCCGCATGTTGTTTCCCGAGATCGGGCTGAGGGCTCGGTGCTGCCCTTCTCACATTGATCTTCGTGGTCAGCGCTAAACCTGCCTCAGGGCAAGGCCTGTTGGCGGTCTTCCAGTACCCGTGGCTTGAAGTGAGGAACCAATTCTGTGAGTAGACGCAGCTTCTCCCTTGTTTGAGATACCTTGACGATGGTCTTCAGACCCAGTATGGTGTGCGCGTGGCTTCTTGGAAGCCCACGGGGCGCGGGGCGTCTACGAGGAAGAATGCGTGGAGTGGATAATACAATACGGCCGACTAGAGGAAGCCTCGGAGAGCACTCCATAAAGTTTCGGATGGCAAAATCACGTAGGACTTGTGGCTCCCGACGCGTTGCAGGATATTGAAGTCAAGATCCATTCCTCGGACATCGTGGGCGCGGCAATTGAAAGATGTCCTTTCATTTACTGGAATTGGAAAACAAGGCAAGGTATAAACGTAGAGGAAGGAGTACTCACGGAGAATGTAAAATCCGCTCAAAATCTATACTTGATTTGAGAGGGATTTTGCCAGACGACCTTAATATTCTGTCACGTACGAGGAGAAATAGTGGAGCCAGAGGGAGTGTTTCTTTCACGACGCGTGAATGTGTGTAAAGGTTGAGCCCCGAAATATCCTGAAACTGCAGGACCAGGAACTAGTCGCCTATAAAGCAGTGACCGTCCTTTAGAAGAATTTCAGTGTATCAATGTCTACGCTGATAGTTTGGAGTCGCTGAGATGCCTTTGGTGGCGACTGAGGTGCCCGATCTAGTTGTGGTCTTGGGGTTAAGTTCAACAAACATGCGCTGTGCGACAATGTGATGGTAGTCCACACAAGCAGATTCAGGCATTTGCATTACAATTACAAAGAAGACGCACGGAACTAAAAACGTTGAGACCATAAAATCACCCTATCACCGCATCCACCTTTACTGCGGATGCCTCGCCGAAGATCGTCTCGAAAGTCTTGAAAGTCTGGTGGCCTAATATCGCAAAGATCACATGATCAAACGAGTGTTTAAATCGGGCACCCTCCCCGATTAAAAGCTCGGTCCAGATACTGGCGACGAGTTCAACCCTGTTTCTGAAAACACCAGTTCCAAAGCTTCCAAGAACCAGGTTCCTCATCCCTTGTTTCTCGAAGAGGTAGAGAATCCTCGCCATCCGCTCCTTCATCGCCGCATCCAATTTACTCTCGTCCGCACTCCCAATTTCACGCAAATATCGGCGGACAACACCAGCGTTGACGGCGGGACTAGTCACGATGTCCACCTCGATTGGACTTTTCCAATTTCCCAGATCGTCGCGGAAGAAGACGACTCTGGGAGAATAAATCATAGCGTGACTGTAATAACCTTCCCGAGGGTCCTTGTTGTGGATTCGATAGAATTTAGCCCCTTCCTCATTTATCAAGCTGGGATACAGCGAAGATGACCGAGCAATCGATTCTTCCTATGTGAACAAAAGTGGATAAACGATCAATCTCATCATGGTTGGAAAATGGCGAACCTGAGCTTGAGCTCCCCTAATGAAGCCTCCACCAGCGTTCTTAGCTGAGGCAAAATTGAGAACACCAATTCTCTTGTTCTCAGAGGGATCCAAAAGCAAGGATTCGTAAAGATTTCGTGTTCCTTCCAATGTTGAGCATTCCGCCAGCAATATCTGGGTGACTGCCGTTGTGGTGCTTGGAGTGACACCAGCCCAATCGCCCAGGTCAGAATTTGGAGGGTAGAAGGTCGTGTGTTCTTTCATGTAATTGACGCTTTCCTTAAGATCGTAGACCGCCCCATCCTCAGCCTCATATGAACCCGCCTCGACTTTGGCCAGTGTTGATGCCGCAATCTCACGCAACGTTTCGTTCGACACCGTGGAAGACGTCGGTATTGACGTCAATGATCGAGATGTAAGATTGGGCATTGCTGAGTGGTTGTCAATATGAAAACAACTCGACGTTTGATGCAAATCACATACCTCGGAATCGTCGCCAGAGTAATCGAATTATCGAAGAGAGGGTGATGGAAACAGCTCGAATGATTCGGATAGAGTGGTGGGTCCGTGTTATATGATATATCTCAGGGCGTTCAGCTATACACCGGATGTGATTCTGTATGACTCCCGTTGACAGAGCTTTCGGGACACGAGTTCAAAGCGGTGGTTGATGGAGGAAACATGATCCTTTCCGCGTGATTCGGTCCTAGATGCCCTGAATTTGGTGGGCACACATGTGACGCGTGACGTGCAGCAGGTACAGGAAATAAGGAAGCAAGTGAGAGATTGTGCAACAAAGTAATGAGTCGCTTTTTGAGATACAGAATCAACTATAAAACTCTCCGCCGTGCTGGACGAGGATTAGATTGGCATTTATTGCGGAAAACAGTTCTGAATTTATCAAATTGCTGTTGTTTGGGGATGGCGAAGATAACTTGTTGGAAAGAAAAAGAAAATCTGCCTCTGGAGACGCTAAAAAAATCTGCCCAAAGTTCAGCAATCATCTCGATATCATTCTTGCACGCCCCCACCCCAAAAGCACCAAGCACAACATGTTTAACACCTCGTCGCTCAAAGAGAGCAAGAATCCTTCCCATCCTGTCTCGCATTCTCTGCTTGATTTTTGTGTTGATCAGAGCAGCTGCTGCATTAGGAGCCCCGGATCTCACAAGCTCTGCGTTTACAGGAGAACAGCTGACAACATCAATTTCGAGAGGGTGTTCGGAGACATCCTTGTCGTTGCGGAACAGGACGACATTCGGGGAAAATATCAGAGCATTAGAGTGGTACGGAATGCTGGATGAGTGATCGTTATAAAAGGGCTTGGACGAAGACGAGTTGAGGGATCCATATAACGTCGAAGAACGACAAAGTGACGCCTCGTGGGTATTCCCACCATCAAGGAAATCGCCTCCAGGCATTGTTGGCGAAGCAGAATTAAGAACACCAATGTTTTCATGACTTTGCACACGACGTTGCAGATGTCGAGCTCCTGCGATGGCAGACGCATGGAGCACTTCAATCCTTGTGCCCCCAAAAAACAGCGGCCGTATGGGGGGTAATGAGGATTTCCAGTCCAAACGTAGAGAGTCTGGGCGATAGTACTCTGTGCCATTGCGCATCGCCCGTAGCTGGCTTGTGATGTCAAAACGCCAAGTACCCTGATGGGCAGAGGAATACACCTCAATGTATCCCGCTTTGATGTCCTTTAATGTAGATTTTGCCATGCCTTGGCGGAACGCACGCATAAAACTCTCGTGCCCCATAGAAAGAGCTTTGGAGGGTGAGACAAACGAAGGGGGTCGAGCTTTAGTGGGATGCTGACGCCGATCAGCTTCAGCGGGGCAGAGAGGTTGAGCACAATCAGCGGGAGGCCATATGGGAGGCCAAGTAGCAGGAGGCTGAGATTGATCCAAAGCGGGGGCTGCAGGATAATCGGCCAAAAGTGAGCGGTATGACGCCTGATCATAGAACTTCTTCCGTTCTGCCCGGAGACCTGTCTCGGGGGGCTTCTTTGTAGGAGCAGCGGGAGGCGGAGTCTGATCATAGAATTTCTCTCGTTCTGCCCGAAGACCTGTCTCGGGGGGCTTTCGAGTAGGTGCAGCGGGAGGCGGGGTCTGATCATAGAATTTCTCTCGTTCTGCCCGGAGGCCTGTCTCGGGAAGCTTTCGAGCAGGTGCGTCCGTACGCGAGAGGTATGTCGTCTGATCGTAGAACTTCTCTCGTTCCTCACGGAGACCCATGGGGGGCAAACCGCAGGATGAGCGTTAGAAAGGATCAACTTCCAACGCTGCATAACCGAAGTAGTATATGACGCCACGGATGGACACACAAAGGCGCCTCATGTCTTTGAAATGTAGGCACCTGATGGAAGTCAGCCTCGATCCCACCTGACCTTCAGGTAGAGTTTCGCCGGTAGTGGCACCTGGACCTGGCCGCCCTATATGGATAAAAAAACAGATGGAGCGCCAAGAAATCTTCGATTATCGGATTTCCGAGTGAACCTGTGGGTCCAAATTAGAAGTTTCCTCAAAAACATCATTGCCACGAAGCCGAAGCGCTATCAGGCATTATCAGAAAAGATCCCCCCACCGAAAATAGGGCCATGTTTGAATCAGAATCCTAGGCCATAAGGAGTGTTCAGGTCCGGACACGAGGTGAAAGAACCTCGCGAAGCCATCGGCCAATGTTTCCAGTAAGCACCGGGAAGGTCGTGCGTAGGGCGGTGTCGAAAACGGTTGACCCATTCTGCAACGTCAACCACGGGAACGTTGGCTAAACGGGCCATCTTTCAGAAACCAGAGCATGTTGAGTTTCGCAAGGAACACGTCAAAGTCCTTCATCACCCCCATCTTGCAAGGCGTTCACTGATGTCCATTACTGTGTTTGGATTCTGCTAAGGCGCGTTAGTCTATGAAAAACACGGACCTACCTGGTTCTTTAAGAGTCCGAATAAGCGTTCTACACTTTTCAGAAGGTTGCAAACTTTAGCAGTCGTCTAAGCAAAAGTAAGCATTTGGATAGCGTGTACATTGTAATTTCGGTAGCAAATACACACCAGCGCGTCGCTTTCCCTACGTTTTCTGAGTTCTCCGAGTCGAGTTTTAGATGATCTCCCCGTCAAATGCATGGTAGAAGAGACTCAGGGGGGGTAGGGCAAAAGATCGTAATTACTAGGCTAAAGCAAAGCAACTGACGCGGCACGCAGCATTTTACCTGCCAGGCGTGGCAAACGGAGACTCGGGTGTTTGAGAGTGGAGGAAAAAAGAGGCAAGCTGTAGATTCGTCACATGATCGGAAAACAACTTGCTTCAAACCATGCCGAACTTTCCCCGACGACACTATATTCCTCGCAAATTGCAGTAATAACGGGTTCGGGCTCCCAATGATCCGCCTCGGTGCGGGATTCTAGATTTATTCCGTCTAATATCCGAGGCCTCAAGGTAAGAGTTTCTGTTCATGCCAACGTTAACTCACCGCCTTCTCACCTTACCTCTCGCAAAGTTTCGGGAAAGAGTTTTGGAACTTGAAGCGTGGACAGTCTCCCTATCCGAGATTCCTTGTTTGTATCGAAAGCCGTGTGTCCTGCTTCATCTCTTCTGCCCACCTTTCCCCACCTATCGGTCAGCCCGAACCAGAACCTCAGGGCCTGGAATCACTGGTGGACTTTTTCTGAATAACCAGGCTTAATTTGCATTCTCATCACCAGACTCGCCACGCGTGTATTTTTACGTTTAAACACATCCCGCAAATACAACCCCATTGGCAGTATTGCGGCCAACGAGCTTGAGCCTCGAATGGACTTTCGCCTCTCTGTCACTTTTCTTCCCGGTTGATCAATTGAGTACATACATTTATCAAGGAAGAAACCAGGGAACGATCCCACGGAAAGCCGCGCCCTCCGATTCTTCTACGTCGCCATCGTTCGAACAAGCCGTTGAAACTAAACTGGGACCACGGTCCACGGAAGATTCGGCGGACGTTACGACGATGCTCGGTTCTTGCACATGTCTGGCGGAGTCTGTTGAGATAGTCAACAGGGCGCTCGCGCTCGAGTAGACGGTCTAGTACTCGGGTTTCCAAGAACGAGATTTCTACTCCTTTCTAGAGTCTGTGTTCGATGCAGGTGAAGGTTGGTGAAAGAAAGCACTTTCGGGACCTGCTCACTCAATTGGAGCTCTTGGCGCCACAATACTCAATTGTGAGCAGTAAAAGGATTGAAGTTGCTCGTATTGAATTCCATCCTCTAGGCTATCATAGGTGTGCTCCAAGCTCAAGCTCCGAGGTACACAGCACATTTGAGCAGATTCCGCATACTTTCCGCATTCGTTCATCGTAGCAGGGTTCGGGTGTGCCTGAATGAGTGAACTGGGCATCATCGGACTTTTGAGAGCAGGCATCGGGTCCGACGACTCGAAATCGCTAGAGCTAGAACGGGATATATTTTATGTTTTATTTCGGCGACATTGAATGAGGTTTTTGAACAATCATAACGTGGTTAACTCACAGTTGGAGGGTCAAGTTATTCGGAAGAGAGTATAGGAAAGGACGAACACGGAAGCGGGATTACGCGCCGACCCGCACAGATTAGAAAGATTTTTACCTCCAACCAACCTCTAACGTTATCAACCCACGAATCAAGATCTGATTCATAATATGATCCGTTTACAACCTTTTACAACCTTCACTCACGTTATTTATATAAATCTCGTCCCGCTTCCTATCTCAATACCCTCTGAATCCCATCCTACATGGCCCACCACCACTCGGACTCCATGTCCATCAACATCGGCTCAACCCACTTCCTCTCCCTCCCCCGTCCAGACGTCCTCACCGGACCACCCCCAGGCGTCGTCGACACCACCACCCTCGCAGCACACGACTTTGACGTCGACACGCGCACGGGGTTCATGCCCCCGCAAGCACCCCTACGTCGTTTACCTGTGGATTGGGAGCCTTGGGAGGAGGTGCTAGATGATGCTGTTGGAAGAAAACTGCAGCTTGGGGATAGACTTGATTTGGATGAGGGGGAAAAGATGAATTCGGAGGTGTGGCGAGTGAGTGTGCGTGAGGTACGAAGTGTTTTCTCTTTCTCGTTGCGAAAGCTGACTTTTTTTTTCTTTTCGTAAAGCTCCCTATTCTACCGATCACAGAACTAAAAAAATCAGAAGTTCTGTTACGCAGAGCACACCATGTCCTCGGATGGATAATGCATTTCTACATCCACTCCCTCCCACCACGTACTCCCATCCGTATCCCTCCACCAATAACCCTCCCCCTCCTCCAAGTCTCCGCACAACTACAGCTCCCGCCCGTCCTCACCTATTCCGACGACGTCCTCTACAACTGGTACATTCCCAACACCTCAGATATCGAGATACCCACGCACACTTCGCCCTTGAGATGCCAGACGCTGTTTACGTCTACGAAGGACGAAGCGGAATTTTACCTCGTATCGGCTAGGATTGAATTGAGAGGCGTGGATGCGCTGGAGCTCATGCGGATGGTGATGGACGAGGCGTTCGTCGGGGACGAAATCGCCGCGCGCCGGATCACCACATACCTAACAGACCTGGCGGGGGTGATAAAGGACCTTGGACAAATATTATTAAGCGTGAAAGAGGGATGCGACCCAGATGTATTCTATCGAGACGTGAGGCCTTGGTTCCGCGGCGAAGATTCCAGTTCGACTTCAAGGGGGCAGAAATGGGTGTTCGAAGGTATAGAAATGGACGAGACACTCCGGGAGCCAACGGAATTATCAGGTCCCAGCGCAGGACAGAGCTCGCTCATCCACGCGCTCGACGCGTTCCTCGGTGTGGATCGGAAGGATTCAACAACGCAGACATCAACCAAGTCTACCTTTCTACAACGCATGCAACTGTACATGCCGCGCTACCACCGCGCCTTCCTAACTCACCTTTCCAACAACCCGCGTCCTCTCCGCGAAGTGATCCTTTCCCTGGGCGAACACCCCGGGCTGATGGAGGCTTATAATGAGAGTGTACAGGCTTTGAAGGAGTTTAGGGATTTACATATGATTATTGTTGCGCTTTATATTGTGGGGCCTGCGAAGAGGGCTAGGGAGCGGGAGAGGGCGGCGGCGGTGGGGGTGGCTGTGGAAGAGGGGAGGAGGCCGTTGAAGGGGACTGGAGGGACCGACCTTGTTAAATTTTTGAAGGGCGTGAGGGACCAGACGAAGAGGACTCTGTTGCCGCTTCCTGAAGTGCTGTCGTGATATTTGAACGTTTGGGATGGATAAATGGATGTCACAACGAATTTTTGTATTACACATATTGCGATGCAGAAATTCAAGGAGTATACAGCGTACATTCCAATGCCTAGGGATAAACGTTAACGATGGATGTTGATGCTTACTTCACGTAGGCCGCCGTCTACTCAAGCGCGAGCGCCCTATTGGCTATCTCAACAAATTCCGCCGTGGAACCACCCGCATCGGTCGTGAAGTTCTCGAACCCGAGCAGCCTACGACCTTCAGGAGAGCCAACATCCGCGAGGGTACCCCGTCCGATGAATTCAGACTCCCTTCGCCGCCTGAGAAATCCCTGTACAAGGTGAGTTAGGAACAAAACTAAGAATGGGATGAGAAACGTTCGCACGGCGGTGGATGGCCCAAGAGGAAGTTCAGTCGCTCTAGGAACAATCTATTACTCTCAACATGTCAACCTCCTACCTCATAAAAAGAGGACAGCAAAGACTCACATCCGACCCGACAGTCGAGATCTCCTCAACCGCAGGACCAAGCTCATCAAGCACCTCTCTCCAACTCTCAACTACATAGGTAACAACGAATTTGGCTGTGCGAATGTCACGCAAATGTCACGTTTTTCGAGCTGTTTCACAGCGAAATTTGGTCTGTTGCCCTTCCTGAAACGAGAACTTCACCTCGCTATCTAAATTTTTTTATTTGAACTTAAGTATGCTATTCAAATGCATTTGGAAAGTTTTAGAATAAACAGTCAAGCCGATCTGGAGGGATCTGAGAGAACATTCCATTACTTTTGTTTGTCTGGTGTAGTGAAAACCACAAAACCATGTCCCCAGACCACAAATCTTTGACTCTCATTCTAAAATTTTGAGACAATAAATTTAATACATAAATACACCTTCTGTCAAAATTCTAAGGCCCCAAGGCAAGTGGAAGGTAAGATAATCCACAGTTTCAAACACCTGAACAAACATAGTACATGGATAACACTTGAGACAGCGACGAATATGTAGGGCTAAATATGTATAAACATATGCTCTCAAAACTGCGGGATACACTGTAATCTCTTTTGTTCTGATATATTTGATCTCAATTTCTAAGTTTGGTGATGGAATTGTACATCCATCATATGCATAAAACAAACTTACAATAAGAAAAGGGATCAGATCCAAAAAATGAACAATTAAATATGATCTGAATTCATATTCAGAATACACTTACATAAATCTTGGCCCAGGAAGTTCAGCATATTCTAAATATGAGTTTAGATCATATTTATTCATTCATTTTGTGGATCTGATCCCTTTTTTTATTGTAAGTTTGTTTTATGCATATGATGGATGTACAATTCCATCACCAAACTTAGAAGTTGAGAGCAAATATGTTGGGGGAACACTGGTTTTGGTCTATTCTGCAATTTTTATTGCCTATGTTTACACATATGTTAGTCTCTTGTAGACAGACTACAATACAAGTGAATTTTGTGGATTTGTAGGGTTCACATGTGTATGTAGTCTGTTTCATATCACACCCTCCAAACCGTGTCAGAAAGTTGTTATGTAATCTTTGGACTTTGAAACAGTCATCACATCAATATATCTACGGTTCCTTCATCGTTGATGTGACATTCAACAATCTTCGAACACTACACTTCTTGTAACTTGATTTACTTTTTTTCTTGACTGGATTGAACCTTACGGACCTATGCAGATGACCACAGGAGCCTGCTGGCAGGATCCTATCGGCCTACAGACCATATGTACCATCGTCAAGAAGATCATACCAACATGGACAGACGGACTACACCCGGTACAGCTCAAACTCATTTCTGTCATCCTTGATGGTCAAGACATACTCTGTTGCACTGCAACTGGTGACGAAAATCAGCAGCCTTCGCAATTCCCGGCCTTGTTCTCGTCAAATACAATGCACATCTGGATGCATACCCTGCCAGACTTCCTACCCGAAAAAGACCTATTGGCATTGTAATCACACCAACAAAGGGACTAGCCAATAACATCATACACTTTCCACCGTTTTTTCATGTTTTGTGCTCATGGCTTTCTAGGTTTTTGAACTGTCAAAACTTAATGTCTCTGCTTTTTCATACTGCCATGAAACTTTGAGCGAAGCACGAAAGGCCAGAACCTGATTGGCGGATGTTATAAAGGAATGTATTAGAGGTGATATGTGTGGATCCAGAGCACTTACGCGACAAAGAGTGGAGGGAAATCACAGAGAGTCCGATTTTTCGTTCCAATGTCTTGTTTGGGTGCATCAACGAAATCCACTTGATCAATGTCTGGGGTCTCTCATTCCGTACTGCATTCACAACTATTGGGGCTTTCTTACGTGGTTGATTCCTAATGAGCATCCAAACACTCAATTTACTGTCCAATTCATCACTCATGGACTAAATGGCGAGAAATTCCCTGATTTACTTCCATACCTGGCTACAGGAAGGAAAACAATCATACACTGTCGAACCCACTAATGCCCGAGAACTTGCTAAATCGAAGCAACATGAAAAACAACGAACAGCAACAGTTACTGAAGATGAAAACGAAACTCATTCTGTAGATATTGAGCCTGGAGAAGCAATAGACCAAATTTTGAGTGAATGACAAGGCTTGAATCACAAATGCGAAGCGATGGAAGACATAGCCAACAGACCAAAGCAACGACGAGCCCCCAGAGCACCACAACCAAGTGTTGCTCAAGTACAAGAAAATTACGGCCCACGGAACCAAACACACCGACGTGGCCCAAGCCTCGAAAGGAGAATGACGTCCAAAGGGTGAATTTGAAGTGACGGAACAGTTGGGTATTCTCTAATCAAGCATTTCAGACGTTATTTTTCATCGAGGTCAACTTTTCAATCAAATCTGAATTGAATTTGTAGTGACAGGGAGTGTTGTAAAGCTATAAATGCATCAAGAGTACGAGGGGCTACAACAATATTGACGCAACACAGCTTCAAAGTCCGAAGATTACATAACAACTTTCTGACACAGTTCGAGGGGCGTGATATGCACAGGACTACACATATGTGGCCCTTCATATTCATTGCTGCCCGAAGTGTAAGATGATTTCATCCGAGGTTTTTCCACGAGCAATTTGGATGCTCAGCCAACGCCGAACCTGAGACAACCATCCTTCCTTCATTCTTGTTCGTCCTTCCCAAAGTCTTCATGTTGACCATCTCAGAAGTTGCCATCAAGAAAAACACTTTGTAAGCTTTCGCGTTTTTTGTGATTGTATGATTGTTATATTTGGTTATTTCAAGCCTCAGTCACCGATCATCCAAGCACACAACAAGCTTGGGATGGAACTTTTTTTTTCACATACAACAATGAATGCAATCTCTCTCAGGAATGCAATCTCTCGGGTATGCAGGGGTACAATGTTTGGTAGACTACTTCATCTCAAATGCTCATTTTCATTGTCAGGTTTAAATTTACAAAGGCACCCATCACTAACAATTGCAACACTCTACCGCTGGTTGGACATGCTAGACCAGGACAAAGTTGAGCCCTGGTATGTGCCATACAAGCTATGGCATGTAACAGTCACTGAATGCAATGTCCTGTGTTATTCTGCTGTTCGCAATGGACCCCCTCTTGACCCTTCTTCTATGGAGCTTGTCCAGCCAGGAGACTATGCTGCTTACTCAGGTGCTTTCTCTTTTCTTTTACCCAAAAAGTATGGTGTTAACAAAATGGTGGGGTATAGAATCATATGATCATCAACTTTATAGGAGACACATTGATGGAAATGATGTTGGAGAACCATGGCCATCTTTTCATGAAAAAGCGTCTTGGCTAGGATCATCACTCTATGATCCTGATGGGGAATTCACAGCATTACATGTGTGTCACTTCACCTCCTCTGCCTGAAAATGTGTGCTCAACACTCTTTATAAACTAGAATGTTATGAGCAATGATATTATAGCTGCCATCAAACAACATGACCAAGGAAAATGCTTCCTAACTGGTTCTGTGATTAACACCCAGCTTTGCTGGATCATTCCACCTGTATGGGCAAATGAAGTTTGTCACTAACATATTTTGTTTGCATTGATTGTAATGCTTCTTTCCAGTGCCGTGACCCCAGTCAAAGCTTTGGCTGAGCTGAAATTGTCAATGCCTTCAAAGTCCCTGAAAATGTTGTTACTCTTGTGCAAGATTTGGTGGAACCCTTCACCAATAACAAGTTTGGGATTGATGTTGATGTATGCAACTCTTCATTATCCATTCATCCTGCTCATCGTTATCTTAGGATAATTACAGAATTGTCATCTTTGAAAACCTCCAAACCACTCTTATCCAAAACAACACTCAACTGCCTAGATCTGGAGATCCATCACAGTGTCCAAAGGATGTCTTCTTTTGAGATCACTTCAGGTGGTGCCTTGGAGTTAACTTTTTGGGTGGTGACATCAGGCAGGATTTTCCTGATAATGCTCAGGATTTGATGGACAAGGCCAGGGAGGAAGGGATTCATTTGGAGGACCCAGAATGGCAAACATATCCTGGGACAAAGATTGTGGAACTCATGATGGATCATAAGTTGGCATGGGATGCAGAAGTGGCAGAGCAAGACCCTGAAGAGCTACAGGTATCTGGGTAACATGGTTGCTAGTTTTCATTGCAAGCAAAGCGAGCATTCCTTCACTAAAGTGCTGAAAGTCTGGACAAACAAGTACAAATTTTCCATTCGCAAAGGTCGAAACTTTTGGCAGGGAAAAAGTGTGTTTCATGGATATCTCATGCATTTCTGGAACTATTCAGATGAAACTTGGCAAGTATGTTTATGAAGTATACCTTTACACACCTATCACAGAAAAAATGCACATTGTCTTATGTATTGCATGTTAAATCAACCCTCAAACTTAGGTGGCATTTTCAACAATCTTCTGAAACGACATAAGAAGAGCTAGACTGTTTAAACATTTGCATCAGAGTCATTTACACATCTTGGATGTCTTATTACATGTTTTTTATAGTTGTTTCCCCCCTAGCATTCATTTTCAAAGTCGGGACAGAGTCGCATTAATCCTTGTTAACATGACTTTGGCCACCTCGACCCAGGCCTCTGCAGTGGGAACTGTCGTCACAGTTGTATTATTCAAAGGTCTAAAAAACTTGAGTGCAACAAACTAGTTGTGCGGAGTGAGCCTAACCCCCGCAGGACTTGCGGATCCATTTTTACAAAGTTTCATATCCATTAGGGATGCTCTGAGTCTGTAAATAGCAAAGTTGGATGTTAGTCATGAGAAAGTCACCAATTAAACTTACACATTTCTGACTACACTCATACTACCATAGTCATACATTAATCTCACACTGCAAACTGTATATTTATTACATCTTGGTAGTCATGTACTAGTCATATAATAGTCATGTCTCAGTCAAAGTTGATGCTTGGGCTCAAGTAAATGCCATGCACCGCCACAGCTCAGCAAAGTGTTCTGCAAGTTGCTCCCTTGTGTGATTGCACACCATGTTGAGAGGTCCCTTCCTCCTCTTGCCTTTTTTTTTATTTATTTTTTTTACAGCACTTTTCACATGTATGCGGAATTGTGTTTGTTAGAATTCTGTAGCTTTGGTTATGTTTACTACCTCGGCATTTCCCTTGACACAATTTTTGCGAGAAGCCTCAGTGCATCTATGTGAGTGCCAGCGCCCCACGACATTGAATGCCCCCACTCTTTCCTTCTAACCGATGGCCAGCACTCCATCCTCTGAGCTCATTCCAACCCCCAATCTCTCAAACTCGACCTTCACAGTTGCCACAGTTGCTGTGGCCCTTACCGTCTTTGTTCCTGCTGCACCAGGGAAAACTCCAACTGGTAAACCTGCGAAGGCCAAGATCAAGACCGACACGAAGAACAAACAATTCAGCTACGATTTCAATAACACCAAAGACAATTACATCTCATTCTTGAACCAAATTCTTGCTGCTCACGGACTTTCTACAAAATATGGGCCAGTGACGTCCTCTTCTCAGTTTCCAATCAAGATTCTCACCCCACCAGCCTGCGCGTAAGTCTTTCGTTTATAGTCAATGACACACTCACAGTCAATTATCTAGCAAAGCTGATGCCGTTGATGTGGAATGGCACAGTAAATATAAGGATCTGATCGATAACGCACGCGAGAAGAAGGTGAACAAGCTCACAGTCTTAGTCCACATCAACGCTATCAAGGATGCATTGAAGAAGGTATGTCAAGTGTCAATACATTCATGTATTGGTCTAATCTGCAATAGCAAAAGGCGGGTGGGTCAGGTTCTGAGAGTGATAGCGGTTCAGATGGACAGGAGATTGATGAAGGCAGTGGTGAGGATGAAAAGGTAAGTTCTTAGTTCTGCTTTTGCCTGTAGCTGAGTCACGGTCTCATGCACATTAGGGCTATACTGCTATGGACCAGGAACTAGGTTGCCTTCGTGGCCTTTTGGAGAAGAAATATCAAAACCCAAACGATTCAGGCTACACATACATAACCAATGACAGCCAGCGCCTACTGCTCACCCCAATAATGCTTGCGCAGTGGTGCAGAGCACTGGTAAGATTCATTTTTGGATTCTTTCGTCGACGCTGACCACTGCCTCTTTCATTCTAGTATGACAACACAGTGACCCTCTCTGACCCTCCCAACTCCCAGGCCTTCAATATGGCCAATCGTGGCCAGCTTCTGCCTGGACAAAGCCCAACCAGCAGCAGCTCTAGCTCCTCAACTAGTTCTCCTTCAGACAGCCTTGGCCATGTCACCTCTATCTTCTCGACCCTCACAACCCTTCTTGGTGCAAAAAATCTTCCATCCCCAATCCTCCAACCCCCTACCCCTACCCTACCCCAGCCTCTCCAGCACAAAATACACCTACCAAGCTTACACGGTTTCTTCACTATGCCCAAGATAAGTTGGAAATTTCCAATGCGCTTGACTGCGAGGGCCAGCTTTCTTCTTGCCGGTATGGCCCCAATATCATCCCCTATGTGTCCGATGCTGCTATTGCGAAGTGTGGCTTTACTGAGGGCGATGTCATTTACCTCAAGCATGGTGCAGAGGCTTGGTGGGCAAGTCCAGAGGCCAAACGTAAGTGTGCGCAGGTGGCTTCGCCCTCATGCAATATCACACATGCAATTCGTTTCGAGAAGTGGTTTGTTGAAGGAGGGTCCGCGTCATACTTTGGTTCAGGCATGGAAATGGGTTACAATGGTCGTAGCAATGAGTATGAGTGGTGGTACTATTGTGATAAGGTGAAGGAGCTTGTCAAGGTCCCCACAGGCCAGGTCCCAGTGCTGGCAGATGCTGATGCTCGGGAGGGAGAAGACGACTTCTGATACCATTCAATTCTGCTTTCTGTTGTTGGACTTGTAATACATTGTCTGTAGCCTCTATACTCTCTTTACATATTGTCTCCCCACTGTAATTACTGTTATTTCATGCATGCACAATGTGGTTGTACTGTAAACTAAGCAATGTGTCCTGAAGCTCGAAAGAAATTCCATGCCATCATTGATGTGATGTTCTCACATGCCCGATCAATCAAACCCAGTGACTCATCAAACCAGTTGCGATGTAGAAATGCTTTGATTGCAGAAAACGCTTGCTTGATAGGGTTGAGGTTGGGTGAGTAGGGTGGAAGGAATACAAGTTTGCAGTCTAAAAGCCATCAAAGGCAATTGTTCAGAGAGTTAGCTTGACAATGACTTACAAGCTTCATCTTCAACCAAGTGCCAAAGCTCTTCAGAATGGTGAATGTTGCAATTATCAAGTAGAAGGACACTTCAGGGACCTGGCCATGGGTTGGTCAATGGAATCTGTATGCATATCAATTTTTCATGCATATAACGAAGAATTGATTCACTTACCACATGTTCTTGCACAAAGTTTGTGAAGTGCGCACTGGTGACAGAGCTGGGGATAACGTTGTATGCCATGATACCTTGAATCATGAGAACCAGTAAAATAGAAACCCTCTGGCTGCGAACAAAAATCCTTCGCTGGAAGCATCGTCGGCCTTTCAAAGACCAGCCCATCTTTCTAAGTGAAGTCTTGCTATTGCATGCTGCCTCGTCAATACTCATGAGTTGTGCTGGATCGGTCACAAGTTCTGCAATGCAGTTCATGAACATTGAGCACTCTAGTTCATTACACTCAAGAGCATGAGCAGATACAACTTTTCGAGAAAAATGGAGTCAATGCAGGGTCCTTAGCAAGGTGGGAACAGATACAGAGACATTGCAGCGCTGGCACAATTCCTCCTGAATCTCATCAAGGTACAAACAGTGTTGTTGGTTTAGAAGACTCTGAATAAGCTTTAGATCTGTGGGGTTGAGAGTTTGATGTTGTCCTCAGTGAGCAAGATGTGCAGCAGGGTTGTAAGGGACGCTGTGATTCCTGTGATATGCGAGAGTTTGATAGACAAGAGACTTCCGTACGCCAAGAATTTCACAGAATTCCTTGACCTTGAAGTGTTGAGCATGGAACAAGATGGGAATCCTTTCTTTTAGGTCACGAGATACATGCCGAGGGGGCATATAGGCAGGAAATGAAGAAACTAATGGCAAAGTGTCGTTCAGAATATATAAAGAGTACATAAATAGATGTATGATGTAATGAATAAACACAACCAAAGCTGCAGAATTTTTGCAAACGCGATTCCGCATAGATGCAAAAAGCGCTGTAAAGCCCACAAACATCAGTAACCAGCCAGCATGATAACCACAGATATTTAGCTGAGTCATGCTACACATACAGCTGCCCAACTTCTGCACTGGACTAAACAAGTGTGTGCAACTATGGACATGACCTGAATCATCCCTATTTTTCTTGGTACACTAACTGGGCAAAAAGAATGTCACATCATTTTTTGGACAAAGTTAGTTCTGTAACACAAGAACCAAACATTTTGAGAACTACACTCTGGTGTATGAAACATAGCTAAAAAGGTGTATATTGTACATACCAAGTCTGGGGATGAACAATTGGAAACTCAGGATAAGGCAGGGAATTGACTGTGACAGGTGCCAAAAATGGGATGTAACAAAGTGGGAAATTCTGAATGACTGCAACCTACTGAAAGCAATTCACAACTTGAGGAAGAGATATTATGAATGCTGGATCTCCCTGCTATTGTTATAAGCTTCATAGAGTCTCTGGGCTAGAAAATTTTATATCCTCCTCTAAAGGGTAAATTTGAACTTGTTCTCCATTTTATGTATTTTTCACTCAATATATTTGTTGGAATGAGGTAAAATGACTCCCCATCAATGTTTGTAGTGTGTATAATACAAAATGTAGGTAGAAATGTTAAAATGAACATTGCATGATGTCTGTAGAAGCTGATTCCCAGAGTTTTTCTGGAAGTAAACAAGTATCTACAACATTGGTCCTTCTTTTCTACAAGAAGAAAAAATGCTACCATCCTTTCGAATTGATCCATGGAGACTCAGGATGTCTTTTAAACAATGCCTAAAGTATACACCGCCAAATAGTCAACATGTGAGAGAAACATGGGTGAAAAACCCTGTCCATCATAATTCGGCAGCTGTCGGACATGCTGATGGGACCTTTTCTCAACAGTCATTACTGCCCAACGACAGCATGTCTCCAGGTTGATGTTGACAACAGGTGTAGTTCAGATATTGATAACAGCTGCAGGGCCAGGTGGATGTCCGGCGGCAAGTGTGCTTCAGCCCACATATTCCATGGCATTATCAACAGCTTTTAGCTAGACCTGTAGAATTCATCTAGGTACATGTTTTCATTTGGTAGATAGTCAGATTAATTCAAGCTTCATGTAGGCATCTGCAACACCAATCTTTTGCAAGGATCCATGTGCTCATTTATTGAATGGGAAGAGATAACAACCAAAAATTAATTATTGGGGGCGACGACACAGAAATTATACACAAGATAAGGAAGTAAGAAGTGACTCTGTAATATAAGAACTCACAGGCCACATCTGTGCCAGGTGTGGATTTGTAGTTAGCGCTTCCTGGATGGCCTGTTTCACTGTCTTGAGGGCAAGCGGGGGAGGGAAAGGGCCATTCGTCAATGGAGGGAGGAGACCATCCATCAAGGGAGGGAGGTCATTTGTCGAAGGCAGGGGAGACCATTTGTCGAAGGCAGGGGGAAGACCATTTGTTGAGAGAAAGCTGTTCATCGAGACATTGAGAGAGGAAGCCGTTCATCGAGGGAGGAAGGAGGCCATTTGTTGAAGGCAGGAGGAGGCCGTTTGTTGAAGGCAGGAGGAGGCCATTTGTTGAAGGCAGGAGGAGGCTGTTCGTTCGTTGAAGACAGGAGGAGGCTGTTCATTGAAGACAGGAGGAGGCCGTTCGTTGAAGGCAGGAGGAGGCCATTCGTTGAAGGCAGGAGGAGGCCGTTCGTCAAGGAAGGAGGAGGCCGTTCGTTGAAGGCAGGAGGAGGCCGTTCGTCGGGAGGAGACTGTTCATTGGGAGGAGACCATTCATTGTGAGGAGGCCGTTCATCGGGAGGAGACTGTTCGTCGAGAGAGGCTGTTCGTCGAGGGAGAGAGGAGGCTGTTCATCGAGCGAGGGAGGAGACCATTCAAAGACTGTTCGTCGAGAAAGGAGGCCATTCGTTGATGTGTTGGGAAGGAAGAACAATGAATTTCCGTGTTGGGAAATTCAAAATTCAACATGACCCCATGATGTTGGAGTTTGAACAGACTTAAACGAATTGCGGCACATTGTTCACTCACCTGTCACTGTTCTTTCTATAACTGAAGTGTACGGACCTCGTTTTGGCAACATAGCTATATTTTTGTGCAACTAATGTATATATAAAACTGTCTCTTACAAATTGGCAGTGTAGTCCAAGTGTAGTCAATGTGCTAATGATATGGTGAGGACAGCTAGTAATGGATGTTGTAGGTACATGGTGAGGAATGTTCAGGTTGCCTGTACTGCAGGTCAGCAGCAGGCTTTTCGAATAGCTGCTGACAGACCAAGCTGTCGAGTAGATGTCAAGCAACAGCCATCAAGGGCCTTGTGCATGACATCAACACAGGCCAAATTTAGCAAGATGTGGGTAACATTGGTGTCACCTGCAATCTATATTGAGCATCGGGGTGACATCCATCATTCCGAGTGATCTTACAGTCACATTTTTGACAGTTGGCGGTGTAGCATGATAGCAAATTAATTTACACTGGGTATAACTTGAAAGGTCCTCAATAAAAGTACATTTTGCATAGAGCAAGAAAGGTGTGGGGTCTCAGATCCTTGTATAAATAGGATCTCTGTTTATTTCTTTGGAATAGTGTTACTAGGCATGAGAAGTGCCTTGTGAAATATTTTCAGCCCCAAGTCACCAAGAAAAATGTCAAGGATTGGTCCAGGATGATTGCTCTATGCAAATGTACTTTTATTAGGGACTTTTCAAGTTATACCCAGTGTAAATTAATTTGCTATCATGCTATACTTTAGGCATTGTTTAAAAGACATCCTGAGTCTCCATGGATCAATTCAAAAGGATGGTAGCATTTTTTCTTCTTGCAGAAAAGAAGGACCAATGTTGTAGATACTTGTTTACTTCCAGAAAAACTCTGGGAATCAGCTTCTACAGACATCATGCAATGTTCATTTTAACATTTCTACCTACGTTTTGTATTATACACACTACAAACATTGATGGGGAGTCATTTTACCTCATTCCAACAAATATATTGAGTGAAAAATACATAAAATGGAGAACAAGTTCAAATTTACCCTTTAGAGGAGGATATAAAATTTTCTAGCCCAGAGACTCTATGAAGCTTATAACAATAGCAGGGAGATCCAGCATTCATAATATCTCTTCCTCAAGTTGTGGATTGCTTTCAGTAGGTTGCAGTCATTCAGAATTTCCCACTTTGTTACATCCCATTTTTGGCACTTGTCACAGTCAATTCCCTGCCTTATCCTGAGTTTTCAATTGTTCATCCCCAGACTTGGTATGTACAATATACACCTTTTTAGCTATGTTTCATACACCAGAGTGTAGTTCTCAAAATGTTTGGTTCTTGTGTTACAGAACTAACTTTGTCCAAAAAATGATGTGACATTCTTTTTGCCCATTTAGTGTAACTCATTTGGTAAAATAACAAAAAAAATATTATGCCGAGCCTCTGGAGTTGAACCCACTTGCTCTGTTCAGAATGGAAGGCAGGCATGATAACCACTTCACCACAAGTTTTGTTGAATATTTACCTGAGTCATGCTACACATATTAACATTTAAGCTGCCCAACTTCTGTTTTTTTTTGCAATCAACTGGCTCAACAGAGATATCATGAGGAATCCAGGCCCTGAGGGAGAAATGCACCATCCGCTGATCCAGAATCAATCTTCACACCGCTTCACAGCTGTCACATGATGAACTTTCGCCCCCCAAACCATTCCCAATCGTTGGAAAAATGAGAACAACGATCCCTTTGGAACATAACCTGCATATCTCGCCTGCCAAGCAGCAGCAAAAGTCCCTACATAGAAACGACACATCAAAATAGCTCCTCACACCATTTTCAACAATTATATGCTTATAACAAATAACATACCTTCAATAGGACCCAGTTCACCGAATCCAAAGGCCTCAATCGCCCACGGCGCCAATAATACAAGCACCCCCAACGCAACAATTGTGCAGAACACTGGATGTTCCTTTGCGAATCCGATGGCTGCCCCAGTTGCTTTACCAACTGCGTCTGTCATCGCCCCAGCCACGGGCGCTCCCCCCCTAACAATATTCTCCAAGCTGTCGAGGACCGCGGCTGCCAGGTTCTCATACCAGCCCGTCTCTCGAACGATGTCTTGAAGACTTTCCTCAAGATGCTTATCGTTATATTCTGCGGTAGAGAGTAAGGATAAAATGTCTTCTGCCTGAGCCTGGGTTCGTTGCTCGGGCGGGGAGTCTGATTCCATCGACCTAGATCTTGTCAATGCCATCTGCGGGCGACGGGTGTGGGGGTCATGAACTCCAACCTTGGGTAATTTGCGCCTATGAGGCGATCAGGCAATCCCTCCAACTTTCCTTTCGAACGATTTTCCCGGGGGCGATTAAGAGTAGACATCGTGGTACAGAAGAGTGTCGATGCTGTGAGGCGCCAATTTTTTAAGTGGGCGGTCCGCTTCACGGGATTTATAAGGTCCCACGTCAAGTCAGTGAGGCGCCAAAAAAACGGCGGTTAACGGAAAAGTGTGAGAAAGGGGATGTCATGCTATTTCATTTCAGATACCCACAAGAGCCGCTATGAAAACACCACCAGAAGTCTAAAACAAACATTCAGTTACATTGAAAGCCAAAAGACGAGTACATATGGGCTACCGATCCCTATCTCGCTAGACGCCGTTCTGGCTCTACCTCCTGTCATCCATCCTCGGCGTCCCTCACATTCCTTCTCGCCCTCTCCCTACTATCCTCCTCACTAATCCGCTTGACCGCGGGACGTATTTCATACGCTGTAGGAGGACAAGAACCCTGTGTGGCAGACAACGAACGACGGGGGTAGCAAGGATGATCTTGGTTCCCTGCAGCTCGGGCCTCGCCACGTCACGGATCCTACAAAAGACCAACTGATTAGCTCATCGTCAAGAGGGAACAGTTATGTCGTACCAAACGCAGAAAACTTCGGTGATGCAGAGATGTCTCGTTGTGCTTCCAGCATTGAATACTTCAATGGGTAGGACTTCGAATTTTCTGTTCATTCCGTAGGCGATTGTAAGTGCTGATGTATTTTGGCGGTCCAAGATTGAACACGGGCTTGGTTGCACATGGAATATCGATTACCGCTGGATTATTGTCGTTAGGGCGAGCTGCTGGAGGAGTTGCGGAATGCTGATATCTAAGTGGGCAGGACCAAAGGACAACATCGTCACAAAGTACGGGTGTTGGTACGGGTGAGTGAACCACCTTCTAGTGGTGCTTCAAAGGAGAAGCGTCACCCGAACCATGGATGCTCACTCGTCCCATTGTGGTTGATTGCGGCGATGGGGTTTCCAATCCTCGGACGAGGATTACTCAGTAGCTTGTGTGTCATGAATAGCCTTTCAATTCTTTGTGTTAGCTTTACCCTCAATGAGCAATGTCAGATTGAACACTTACCCGAGTGAATGTTGAGCGGGAGAGCTGGACAGAATCCCTGAGCGCAAAGCAAACGTAAATTCAGAGCAGGCAAATGGTGGATAAGAGACTAGCAGAGTTGACGGTAAAATAGGAGTCACCGGTAAAATAGGAGTCACGGTAAAATAGGAGTCACGGTAAAATAGGAGTATTTTACCGTCAACTTTTGCTAACCGTCAACTTTGCTAGTCTCACTATTTTACCGTCTGTCTATCATACTACCATCCTACTAAATGACTCAACATCCTATCGTCGAAGAGCTCGCGCAAAGGAGGTTCAAGTTGGAGTCTTTCTTAGAGGAGCAATCAGCAGTGATTAGAAAGAGCCTGGCGGTTATCAAACGGTGTATGAACGTAACCTCCACGGTTATGCGACCAAACCCGAAGACCAGTGGATTCCCGTCGACGCTGCTGATAAGGACAAGAACAGAAAGAGAATGGAGGATGTTGAAATCGACTCAGCAAGCGCGTGTGATCAAGGCAAGGTGGGGAATAATATTCCGGTTGTCTCTGGGTGACAGAGGCAATCGGATGAGTAACTACAGTGCAAGGCCTCGTATATATATGTAGACTACGAAATATAAGGGGGTAAATGTGAAATACCCCTATGGAGCCACGGAAACAATCAATGGAAGGAATGTACCTGAAATCCAACTGAAATCCGAAGATGGGGCGCATTGCGCATGCTCGTAAAGCTCCCGAAATTCCAACAGAGGAGATGTGTGCTAGGACCCCAACATGCATTGATGAGTGAGCTCAGTACATCGTTGTCTCATGCTTATCTACGACTACTTCCAGTCGTATGAGGATCGTGTTTGCTGCGCACGGCCTTTTGATGTATCTCATAAGGTTAGATATGAATGAGTTACCCATGAGCATCCAGCCCCAAATCGGCAGGAGAACATTGGAATTACAGTATGTACTCTCATTCCTCCGTAATGTCCACTCGTCATTTCGGTTCCCAGTCGCGAGACATTGCACCTTCCAGAACCCGCTCGAGTTGCATCCTATCAGTCGTCTTTGGGAAAAGAACGGATTCTTTTGAAAAGGCCTAGCAGTCGTTCTCCCACCCGTGCCGTCGACGCACATGACATGAACACATTCAAGGACAATCCATTTCAACTCGTTGGCAAGTCGTTCTTTCTCCAAGATGAAGATGAAGAGGTCTTCTACGAGGTTGTCGAGATTGGATCGTCGAAGCAGGCGATGTGGTACCAGATTCAGTTCGAGGATTGTGCTAATTACATGCAGATGGGTCGGGACGCAGCGTTGGAGATGGTAAACGGCAGTGTTATGTGTATTGCGCAAGGTCACCTGTGATCATGTAGGGGTGCACACCCTCGACCGAGTCAGTTTTCCCAAAAAACCGCCAGCGCGGTGCGTAAACGATTATACGATGGATAATCTACGAAATGAAGATGCGTATAAATACAGAATTGGTTTTACCCATGAGCGGATAATTAGTGTAGTTGATGATAATGAACGTGGATAGAGAGCGTTGGTGAGAGAGCACAAGTTCGCATAGACCTACGCCTCCCGTCTTCTCTTCGCCTTTCCTTTCCCTTCTCTAGAGGAAGGATCACACATACATGAGTTCGACATTCGAATAGTAGCAAGAAACAGCACTCACAGAAACCCGCGGTCCTTCCTTTTCCTACTATCCTTCTTAATCACATTCCTCTGCATCTTCCTCTTCGCCGCTGCCTCAGGGTTTGTAGTGACCTGCATCACCCTTGCAACCTTGCGCTCTCTCCTAAGTCCCAAGACGCTCTGCCTGATCTGATTATAGACGTTCGTGAATTTAGTCACGCCGACTTTGGATTGTACCAAGTCTTGGAGTTCAGTTGCTATCGTTTTGAGTTCGGCTAGGTTTAAGTTTGATAAGCGAGCACTTGGCATGGGAAGGAATCTTACTCATTTGAGGATCTCGAATGGTATCGTCCTCTGTAATCCGGTAAACTGGTGTAAGGATGTGGACTAAAAACTGTTCCAAACGCGTAGCCTCCATGTGCGATGACATTGCAGCAAACCAACGGAGAGCACCTAATGGTTGTTGCGACCAGGTAGGCTAACGACATCAGATATATGGTTCGATGAGAACGGGGAAGGAACTCACAGAGCACTTGGCCCGACTCCGCCTAGCAATATGTGCGGACTTTACTTGGTACGAAAGCTTCGAAAACAACCACGGGAGCGGGTTGAGATTCTTCGACTTTTCCTCGTCCACCTTGGTGCCGTCATCAGCTTCATTATCCAACATCTCTTCCGCGTCGTCCTCAATCGCAGAGGGATTGACGACCGGGATCAAGTAGAAACATTTCCCAATATAAAACAGGTTCTTAACCACCTGCAAACCCAACGCCTCGTCGAGATTTTCGCTCTTAAGCTGCTGACAGAGTTTCCTTGCAGTGTCTTGCATTCCTTCTCTTGAAAGGGGATGGCCTGCGTCGAAATCTACTCGTGGAATAGCAACGGGTACAGCAGTGAAGAGAAGTCCAAGAAGCCTGCACGCTGCTGTGCGAACCCAAGCATGAGGGTATGTCAGATGCGAGCTGACGAGGTTCCACGCAATCGTGCCATCTTGCACTGCAAGATTGGGGAAAACGCGAAGAATCTTGAACAGAACCGTCAAAGCGTGGTAAGGCACTTGCCATTCCAGATCAATATCCATCGACGAAGCTTCGTCCTCCTCTTCGCTGGTCTCCATGCTCAGAGAACTGCGTTGAAGGGCGGCGCGGAGGTCTCCCAGAATGGAGGAGATGTAAGGAAGGGACTCGGCTTGCAATTCATCAGCAATGAACCCGTACACCTGTGATGACACCCAGGTCAACTGTGGTTGGGCTTGTTGAGCAGCCCACGAATGAAGGTGAGAAAGGATGATATTGCGGTGCTCCTCGTCCAGCCGGGAGAATAGGCTTCTGATGAGATGTGCAGCCATCTCTCGACACTTGCTGGAATCGTCGTTGGCCACGACCATTACCAGCGCAACGAACAGAAGATCCGCGTATTCACGAACGAGTGCAACTTGGAACTTGGCTACGATGGCACTGAGCAATTCCATGATTGACTTACGTCCGCTCTCGTGGATGTAGGATAAGTTCTTTGCAAGGAATGCCATCTGTTTTCGAAGACGTCCTTTTCCTTGTGGGTAGTCCAAAAGAAACTGGAGAAGAACCCCACGACAGAGTTCCTGGACTTGAGGAGACTGGCTGGTCACCATAATCTCGGACACCTTTTCCATGAGGTCGTAAATCTCAGGTACAACGAACTTCCGCGATACGATAGCTCGTAACATCGTGAACACGGATGCTTGTCGGGAGGGCTCTTCCAGGTCAGGGGAAAGTAGTTCAATCAAAAAGACGAGGTCCTTTTCTTTGACCTCAACAGCAGGCCCATCACGAAGAATCGTCGCTAGCGATTTGAAAGCCACTTGAACGAGCTCGGACTCCGTGTTTCCAGCTTGCCTGATGATGTCAAGGATTTGCCGCACGAGGACTGGAAGAGATTTCTCGAGCGACTTCAAAGGACACTTGACCAATCCCGCAGCACATCGAAGGCCAAGCGACAGGACTGGAGCGCTCGTTGAGTAGAGAGTATTTCCAACTACCACAACCATAGCCTCCAGTCGCGAGGTGACAGCAGCATCGCGGAAATCGAATCGGTTAAGGCGAAGAGCGGTGTTCAGGAGGTCTAGTCCGAACGCAACGAATCTTAAAATAATATTAGAAGATAAGCTGCCACGGAAAGCAGCCTACCCACCGGAAAGAGTTGTTGGCGTAGTGGTTGGTCTCACTTGTCGTCTGCCGCTTCATCTGCACGATGGCATCACCTTTGGGACCTGGTTTCTTTCGCGTCGGAACTTGTTGCAAAAAACGCGCGTTTTGGCTGATGAGCGTGTTACAAAGCGCTAACAGCTCAGTTGGAACCAGATGGTTATTGGCATTCAACCCTGACGCTACCCGCTTCAGAACCTCTTCTACAAGTTGCATGACCTTGAGTGACTCCGTTTCTTGCATGATGGTTTTGACAGGAGTCAGGAGGCTGCTGATCTTAGGTGGAGTGATGAACTTGGCCACGGTTGCGAAGGAATCAAACCCTTTCGATGACGAAGTTCGGACTTCCCTCATTTTGGTTTTGAAATCTTCAGCCTGCACATCCTTCCCGGATTCGCCAAAGATGACCTCGGCTGATACATAGGCAATGTCATTGACGATACAATCCAGATTAGTGAACTGTTCCGCATGGTCGCCAGATGTAATGTGGACTAGCAACGAGTGAGCCATGTACGCCAGGACATGCAACTGCGGTCCTCGCAGGAGAGCTGCACGCATTTCTCGGAGTATGAGAGGCAGATATGAGGGACCAAGGCTGACTGCAATACGATTGATTGAGTCTCTTGTAAGATCCCGCGTTTCCTGCGACTTGCTACGAAGGATTTGACAAAGGATGGTCACCAGCCTGGTGATCTGAGCTTCACGCGTGGTCATTGGCAAATGCTTAGCAACGGTGACGATACCGATGGCAATGGGAATGCGGGTGTTGTCGTCCGTTGTGGCATCATGTTTCTCCAGGTGGCTGATAAGACTAGGCAAAAGTCTTGAATTGACAGCATCTACGATTCGAGAAGTGTTGTGTGCAGCGGAGGCCTGCTGAGACAAAACTGGTGCTTTCGAAGGTTCCCCCTCATTGTCCGCACGTTCATCTTCATCCTCATCTACAACCGCTTCGTCGCTGGCTTCGACCTCAGGAACGATCTCCTCCATAGGGAAGTGGAAATTATCCAATAGAGCTACCAGCGTGCGGATGTAAACACGTTCAGACTCATCTTTTGCCCTCGAAAGCTTGAGGTATTTCTGAACAAGTGCATAGTACGCGCCCCAAGCGAGATGCTTCGCCATTCGTCCCGTCGTAAGAATCGCATCGTTGACAAGATGATGGTCAATCGAAGACGTCGACACAATATAGTTGCTGACAAGCGGGACAAAGATCTCCGCGAGTGTGTTGCTTCGTAAAACGCCTTCATCGCAGTGGTCAGCCAGACGGCGAAGTGCACGAGACCGTCGATGGACTTGTACGTGGAGGATATTGTTGAAGAAATTGGCCTCTTCGTCACCATTTTCAAGCAAAACTCGCATCTCTTGCAAACTAGTCAAGTGTACGCACTTTTCCACTGCATAAGCAATGACACTTAAAACCTCTGCGCGGACTAGTTCATTCTTCGAACGAAGCCCGTTCTTCAGTCCAGGAAAAAGAGTACGAAGGAAGGTTTCGTTGAACTCTGATGAATCTTGAGAAGCCACCAGGTCGATAAAGTGTCGCATGGAATATGAGGCGCTGTTTCGGACAGCTAGCTCCACCGGGTCCTGAATGAAAGCCAAGACGTTGTAGAGGATGGGTAGCCACGCGGAGCAGGGAAGAGTCTTGTAGATGGTTTCATTGAGGGTGGCGAACGCCGTCAACCGTCTATCAAAATCAGGTTCATCCATACGGCGAGCTGAGTAGGCGTTCATCGACTCCAAGAGAATAGCCAAGTCATGGAGAGAGGTGTCGATAACTGCAAACTGGTTAAAGGTCGAAACGAGGCTGAGCCGAGCCGGGCGCGATCGAAGAGATTGAAAGAGCTGCGACAACAATTCGTATGTTTTCCGATATGTCACCGTGTCCTTGTCCGTGAGGTCTGAGATCAAAGGCATCAAGTTTCCAATGATCTTGACCAGGTTGACTTTGATCTTCTCTGGCACAAACTTCGATGATTTTCGCAAGAGAGGAGCAAAGAGCCCAAATAGCGTGGAGGCCTGGTTTGAATCTGTAGAGTATTGAGCGATTTCGGATAAGATGCTAATTTGCCGTTGAACCAGAGGCGTGGCGATGGTGGCGACTCCCTTTGTCCGCTCAACGAGAGTAGCGATGTTGGAGAGAAGGAGCGATACATAAGGCTTCAAAACAACCTCACGGATTATTTCATCTTCTGCGGAGTACCCTAAAAGGTGTTCAACCATATCAAAGATCCGGGATATGACGGACGGCTTGACATTGGTGGCCACCAGGCAGTCATAGACTTTAGGTAACGTGTCCGGGTGATAATCCACCAGATATCGAGTATGAGCAGCCTCAAGCGTCCAAACATGGAAGAGCTCCAGGAGGGCAGAAGGTGCCTGTGTGTTCTCCTTGTCGAGCGATGGAAGACGTGGCGTGATGAACGAACTGAACGCAAAGGTCATATAAGGGGAGAAATCAAAAGACACTGGACAACGGAAAAAGTCGGCAAATCGCTTCAAGCCAAGTTGTCGAATGGAACGAACGATTTTGGGCGACGATGTCGGAGAATCCGCCTCTGGTTCGACCTCGTCTTCATTCATGTCATCCTGTTCTCCGTTGTCCTCTGTCTCTTGATGCAGCCCCTCGACCCTCGACTGTGCGTTGCTGATCACATCAATAGTAGTCCCAAGGAGGGCAGGCCAGTAACGAGCTAGTCTTGATCCAAGATGCTTCAACACATCGCCAAGTAGCGTAAGGAACCCCGTCAGTTGCTTGTCAGACACGTCCTGCTTCAAAGACGTAGTCGCAAAGCCCTCAGGCCTCGGCGCCCTATCCGCACCAAGGGGACTAAGCATCAAATCCACAAGTAAACCCAACTCTTCATCCGTACATCCCGCCAACGATCCCAAAACAGCCGCCCGTCGATCTGCTCCACGGGACCTGCCTCTCTTTTCCAACATGAACCCGAAAAGCAGCCGAATGAGCACATCGACAACCTCAGCCCGATCCTGGGGTTCGAGGTTGCTGATATCTAACATGGTAAGCTCGTCTCGCCAACGCGTGTCATCCAGCAGAACGCGTAGCCGACCTTCGTGGGCCGCAAGGTGGGGGGATTTGTAAGTGAACAGACATGACAACGATACAGTCTGCAATGACCTGTCAGGGAAGGAAAGGAGGGAAACGTATAGAGATCGAAGGGTTTCTGTCGAGTATAAAGCTTTTGGGTTGCTGAATTTGGAGAATAGTGTGAGCCAGGCGGTAAGCTTCTGCTTGGGGAGTTTAGCGCCTGCGTCTGGGCCAGTGAGAGATAGGAAGTATGGCACAAGATCGCGATTATGCTTTTCTACCAGAGAAGAACACTCGCCCAGCGTTGCCAGAAGCTGGTACTCGTACGTCTGAATGTCAAAGCGTTCCCTTTGTCTTTGTGCCTACAGAAGAATTCAGATAACTAGATTTGAGGGTATATTTCGGTAAGCTTACCTTGCAGAGCTGCTTCTTCGCAAATTCAGAATCGCTCCATTGTATCACAATACTGCGAAGCTTGTGGGCGCTCGGGTCGCGCCATGAACGTTCTTCTTCCCACGGATCTTCGTTGTTAAACTCTTCAGGTTCTTCCTGGCCCTTTTCAGGCCATAACGAAGGAGCTTGTTGCCCCCTGGAGGTTCCTTGAAGTTCGGCAAATAGGAGCCGCCACACGACGTCCCCGAAACGTTGAGATAGTGATCCCAGAGCCGTTGCTGCAGGAGACCACAAAGGACGTAAGTTGACCTTGAGTTGAGCTGGAACGGAAAAAGTTAAATCAGTCAGGCGAGCAAAAAGGCAACTGGGAAAGACAGACAGATGAGCCATCGAGTACAAAGGTCTGCTCCACTCTGGTCCCCAACTACTTGGCCAACTCTCCCAATCCTCAAAACGCGCTCACGCACACCCTGCAAGTCCAAAGAGACCTCTTCTCCTTGCAAACATCTTTTTATAACTTCCTGAGGACCGTCACTGGTGTTCACTAGCTTAGAGTCCAAAAGCCGTAACACCCCTAGTCGAACAGGACGGGCATGTGAGAGGAGGGACTCTGCTAAAGTCGGGTAGGCTTCCTCAAAGGGGACGGGGTTTTTTGGAGATGGACTTCAATCAAATAGACGTCAGTGGTCGCTGGCGGACAAGGAAGGGAGGAGATGTACCTAGCTTGTGAGAGACTAACCAAAGCCCCAAGAACTTCGTGCGACCACCCCCATTTCTTAATACTTGCCCTCATCCAAGCAGTCAAGTCCACAGTAGTGACCCATTCAGACGGATTTCTCTTTGCAAGTGTTTGCATGCATATACCGAGCAACCACGCGGAGCTGGCGTTCGAAGGTTGCCCTTCCTCGGTCGCAGCAAGTGTACGGTTGATGATATCAACGAGGATGGAAGAAATAGCGCTGGAGAAGAACGTCGACAAAGTCAATATATCGTTGAGCTCAGACTCCTGTGAAAATAGATGAGAATAGATGACAAGTAAAGTTGCAAAAACATACTGAATCATCATCTTGCTTCTTCCACGCTCTCAGCCGACCCAAAGCACACTTCTCTATCCTCGCCCTCCAGACAGCATCTGTCTCTCCGGTAATCAGCTTCTTAGCCATCTTCAACCCCGCGAGGAACCCAATCAACCTTCTGGGCTCTTTTTCAATCAAGTCAGGCTTGATCGTAGATTTCAGCAACAAAGGCAATGCGACGAGCTTCCAACCGCCCCACTCAAGCTCTGCCAGGGACCCATTGAACTTCAACGCAAACGAAACAGGGTCTTCGTCCCCATCCTGTCTATTCAACCCCCAGGAACGTTGCATAAATTTGAGGCCTGGGCCCAGCCATAGCGACATGTCTGAGCATGTGAAGAGGGCGGTGGTAAACCGAAGAAGAGCCGTGTGTAACGTTGGTTTTATCCGCAACGAGTCCAGCTCAGTGAATAGAAGAGTCTTTTGGGAGTCTTTATTTGTTGTTCAGCTTCTTTCAAAAGCAGAGACGAAGCATTGAGAACATACCTGTCAGACGGGACCCCTGGCGCACTGCGCAGGGTACTGCGACAACCTCAAGCACCCGGCGAAGATGTTCGTCGTTCTTCGGGTCTGCAGCGGTGGTGGCTTTGAACCGCTGAATAAGGACGTCTCCGAGAAGAGAGAACTGATCGGCGTTCTTGACATGGTGGATCAGCGCAGTGAGTGTGCGGCGAATGAGTGTGTAAGTTGTTTCTGGGTCTTCCGTAGATAAATAGTACGTTAAAAGTGGTGAAATGACTGAAGGAGTGCATGTGTGTAGTGTTTGTGAAACGGACTGTATTGATTTGTTAACAAGGATAGGCGAGAAGGAGTAACTGACGTACTTTGCACGCGTAGACGAAGACCCAGGTTGAAGCGTCTTCTACTCCCTCTGCATTGGTTGCCAAAAGCATTATAGCTTTCTCCCTCGCGCCCGATTTCATTTTCCTCAGGGCTGAGGCCCAAACTTCAGCAACGGCACGTTGAATTTCCGCAAGACATTTTGGGAGGGTGGACCGGAGTAAATTCCACGTTTTCTCCAGCAGGTCGAGGTTGATTGAGGGTATCAGTAGATAGCGAAACAAAGATGAGAAAGTTTCGAGGAGGGCTGTCAGGGCCGGCGCAGATATTGATCGTGGTAAAAGCGCCAGTAGGCGGCGCAGAAGATCCGGGTAAACGGGAGACAGAGTTGTTCGAAGGTCATGGGCCATCTTTTGCAAGAGGCTGGTATGTTTGAGTGAGTGAAGGACGAATAGAGGTCTTGGTAAAACTCACTCGAGCAAAGCTCTCAGCCCTTCGTCATCAGAGCTCTCTAGTTCCGTTGTCCACAACTCAATGATCTCTCTCCAGTTATGGAGCAGCAGTGGCATTGATGCTGACAATCCATCGGCCTTGTTCGCGAAACGGATGAATCCTGGAGCGAGATTGAGTTGTCTCCAGTGATTGAGAGCCTCGTGGAAATGTGAATCATTGTCCTGCCCAAATATCAACAAAAATTCAAGGTCTAATCGACAGGTGTTTACCCCAACTTCATGGTCGAACTGAATTTGGTTGAAGGCTGATGGCAGATGGACCTCCTTCAACGCTTGGTTGTAGGATTGATGCTAGAGGGCCTCGCTTTAGACTAAATTTTGGAATTTCAGCTGAGAAATACGCACTTTGAAACGCTTTGCCTGCGGTTCGTCGTAATGATCATCCATTCTCTTGTGAAAAAAAAAAAAATGGAGGTCGGCGTCGTCTTGGACTTGAAGTTCTAAAATTCAGAGGCGATTGCCAAGCAACGACAAATATTCATGAAATTAACAAATGTGACCGTCCATTCCCAGTCCATCCCCATCCACTCGCACATCTGTTCTACGGCGCACCAGGCAGACAATTGTAGAGCAAGAAGTGTCACATCTATTTCATCCAGCTCGATTTATTGTTGACTAGTAGTGCACGTCGCGAATGTCTCCTCTTACAGTTGTAAACTCCCGGATTTCGTGACATTTTGCGTTGAGACTCCTCAGGAGCGACCCCGTTTTTGAGGTTTCCAGCGAGGAACTTGATCCCAACATTTCCCCGACTGACTCCCTTGAAACGCTGACTGCCACCGGCTGCGACAAAATCGACCGAACCCGCCTCACCAATAACTACCCCAACGCCTATTCCGACACCTACGGCTTGCCCAGCGTCCGAGGGTTCATCTTCAAAACTGGCCCAGCCTGGCCTAAGGGCGAACCCTATGACCGCCCCTTGCCGCATGAGTTGCGCCCCGTCAACGATCACCCCATCACGCCTGTCTGGGACGACATCCTCACACGCGTAGAGATACGCCTTCAAGAGAATAGGCTACCATTCACTGCGGTCATGCCACTGGGCTTCGCCAATGTCGGAGAGGAAGAGCCCTTTTGCCCTCTTGTGGTGGCGATCGGTGTCGAGCCCACAAAGGTGGCCTTCAAGGATGCAAAGACCGTTGCCGAGTGCGTCAAACTCATCCTCGTCGAGGCTGGCTTCGACGACGTCGAAGTCGCTATCTGGGAATTTGAGACCTTTCTCTCCGGCCTCAATCTCCCAGCTCTCGACCCCGTGCTTGACGGTAGTCTCACTAAATTTCATCACCCATTCACATCCACCCTCGGCATCCCCGTGGCGCCCCTCAAGCAGCCCATATGTGAGGGCTCGCTCGGCCTGTTCCTTACGCGTGGTGATGGCACTGAACTTCTGGCCTTAACTGCTGCCCACGTTGCATGTCCCCCCTCAACGTTTTCTGATAACAAAGGCTTGTCATTGAAGGCAGCCAAAAGGCGCTACGAGGAAATAATTGTTCTTGGGGATGACGCTTATGTGCGTGCAATCACGGACATTCAACATGAGGTCAGAAACCTCAAGTATAGCATCCAAGCAGGACGGATGAGTATCTCTTCGCTGCAGACTGATCTGGATAACGGCGTGGCTGATGCGGATGGGACAATCCGTGCTGCTATCAGTAATGCCCAGAGGAAGGTGGGAATTTGGAAGGAGTTTATCAGGCAACTCTATCAGCTACACAGCCATGTCACCCCGAACATGCCCATCCCCAGTAATCGCCGCATTGGACGGGTAGTGTTTGCTGACCCCATCAGGGCTTCCTCTGACGGCGCTGATGCATGCACTTGGGACTGGGCTGTCACTGCAATCCGGAAGGATGCATTCGGTGCCGACTTCAAGGGTAATGCTGTGTATATTGGTATGTCTCTTATCTCACTAACAAACACATATGTACTCTGACATTTTCCTGTACTTGATTCTCACAGGGGACAAACTCAATAAGAGGACCTTTCTGGACCTGATGTTTCCCAACCCCAACGACCACATGGGCTATGAATACCCACCGGATGGTCTCCTCCGCATCAGCGGCATCGTTCCCTTGGATGAGATCCGCCACCCCACGCAGCTCAACGCGATGGGCGAACCCGCAATGGCAGTAATAAAGAATGGGAGGCCTACAGGCACCACTGTTGGTTGGATGAGCAGCTTGAAGTCCCTTGTGCACTACTACCACAAGGATACCAATATCCAGTTCACATCCCGCGACCTCACTGTCATCCCCTATGACAGTGATCCTTTGCGCAGTGGTGGCTTTTCTGCTGAAGGCGACTCGGGTTCTGTCATTGTTGAGCGGAGTGGCCGTGTTGTCGCCCTGTTAACTGCCAGCGGTGGCCGCAGCGCATCAGGAAAACTACACTTCACTTGTTGGGCTTACATCGCTTGTGATCTCACTTGAATCACTTCGGCACTTGATGTTACAGCCACAACTTCCTTTCAAACTCGAAGTGAGTCCAAGTGGAGATTCAAGTCACTCACGTCAGTAAGTCATAAGTGCCCGCGCTCACAAAAGCCATCGGGATGCTCAAACACGCTACTTAGAAATTATTCCTTCCTAAGTGCATTCGAAGTCCGACGACATGTGACAATGTTGAAATTTTCACCATCGGTTTTTCTTTTCAACGTTCATCATAACTGAGCGGTGTCCAACCTGCCCTCGCCAAATCCCACTGCAGTCTGTGCCTGCTCGCTCGCCGACATGGAAAACGAACCGTAGTCATCACGCGCTCGACATTTGCTGGTGTAGGACTGAGTCCGCTGTCCAGCAGGACGTTTTGGGTACGTCATTCCTCCCTTTATCTCCTCTTCGCTTTGTATTTTGATAGGGCAAGCTAACATGCATATCCTATCTTACAGACAAATGCAAAACATATTAACGGTCTCACAGAACACGATGACGAACCTTAGCCATCACACGCTCGACCTTCGCTAGTGCAGGATGGTTTTCTTGTACTTCTAGAGGGGAGGAAGTTGATGTTGGGATACAGCGGAGAATACGACAACCTTGGTCATCTGGTCTGTTCCCTTCTCCCCTCCCCGCCTGTCCCCTTTTCACAACTTCACCCTACCCAGGTACCACCTCCTCGACTACGTCTACACCGCCTTCCGCCACCCTCATATGGAGATCCCCACCGAGCCAAAAACAATCTGGTTTGTTCCCTTCTTCCCCGCCTGTCCCCTCCTCATGACTTTACCCTACCCAGGTACCTCAACTACATCTACACCATCTTCCGCCATGCTCATATGGAGACTCCCACCGCCGTCTTCACCGTGCCCAGATTCCGAGCTCATTCGCATTAGATGGAGGTGGCGGCAATCCCATCGCCGTTTTCGCCGTGCCTACATATTCGACATTTGGGTATGTCTCCTTTTCCCTTCCCTTCCACGTGATCTTATTTTCATGCAGGCTGAGCGCGCGTTCAAGTTCTGGATCACGGGGGTCTCTACTGCTGGCATTCCGGATCGTAAGGAAGAAGCAAAATTCTCGGAGGACAACTGGGGCGCCAGCACCGTGGGCTACATCGATTCTATCAACAAATTGTCACGAAGACAATTCGCGCATCGAGGGGATAGGCATTGGCACTGTGAACGAGCGAAACGGGTCATTTTGGTTTCTCCATGAGCGAGCCTGAAGGGTGGGATGTTGGGTTGCGGGATGTTTGGCTTTCTACGCATTTCAGAGGTTCCTTGAGCCGCTACATTGTAGGTAGACATTGGTACCATTTAATATACTCTTTTACCCTACTAAATATACCATTCTGTGTGAAATCGGGAACAGTTCGAGACTGCTATTTCATCACTTGGTCACTTTTGAGATCAACTTGACATACGACTTACCCACTTGAGTCTTCACTTGCATCAAGAGGAATCACTTGGCCAAGGCAGCAACCTACTTAGCCAAGTGAGTTTCCTTTGGCCACTTGAGTTCACTTTCGTCACTTGGCCACTTGTCAAAGTGACCTAAGTGACATAAGTGGACGTGTAGTTTTCCTGATGCGGCGTCGCCTACTCCACTGATGTTACCTTTGCTACTGCATACTGTGAGCTTGAGAAGCGCATCAAGGAGATTTTCCCCAGCATTTGCCTCCTCGACTAGGTTTGTGTACTCCCTTTTTCTTTATGCACTCCTTTGATCGCATTGTTCTCTTCTAAACCTCACGCAGGTTCTTGTCGTTTGTACCCGATCTTCCTACAGAATTAAGTTCGGACTCCGAAGAACGCTTCTCGAGCCAACAAGTTGAACTACGATTCCCTTGACACGATGTGTCGCATCATCAACTCCTCTGGCCTGTCGGAAGAGAAGCACATCCTCAACTCGGAGTCAAGTAGAGCATGCCAGGGTCACGAAACACTCAGGCTCTGGCAGCATACATTTTAGCCTTACTCTCTACCGCAGAATATAACGATAAGCATCTTGAGGAAA